GCATTGTAAATGGGTTGCTGCTACAGTACTAGACAGGAGGAGAAAAAGATTAAGACTGCTTTTCTGCAAGAGAAACAGGAAAAGTGCAGAATGCAGGGATACATGCCAAATAAGAAAGAACAGAAATGGAGGTAGGCAGAAGACAGAGACAAGAGTCTGGGAGAGGGACTCACAGACGGGTGGGGATTTACACGAGCAGAGCAGCAGGCAAACAAGATAATCTCTACTGCAGCATGTCAAGTGGATGTACAAACACCAGAATGAAACAGGAGAGAGTGAATAGAAAAAGGTTCTAATCATCAAGGCAAGAACTTAAGGCTTCAAAAGAGAAAGCAGTGACTTTGGGGAAGAAAATGATGAGGATGAGGTGATGGCAGTAAGTTCATGTTTTCCACCACAAGCCAAAAAGATAGTCAGGAATGGAAGCAGACATGAATAAGCCCTGGATGAAGCCACCATTTTTTTAAAAAATAAACAAAACCTTTCCCTGGTACAATACACAACAGCCGGCTTAGCAACAGAGGTTGCTGTGATTGCAGAGACTGCAGTCAAAACCTCTGCCCCGTTATACGAAGCCTGTGTAAAACAGCATCTTCCCCCCTTTCTACCTACGCTCTCCCATGCCATTATATTCTACCAAACAATGAAACTTCACTTGAAAGTAGGAGACAACAGTTTCACTAGAAGCTAGATCACACAACCCACTGCTGCAAGAAATATGTCAGGTAGTGGATTCCTTCTGTCCGAATTAAAAGAAAAACTTTTTAGCTTAACAAAAAACTATCTTCGGTCTCAGTCTCTCTTCACAGCTAGTGTATATACAATGCACATGCTTACATCTAGCCACCAGCAAGTTCAACCTCATAAGCAAACTATACCTCCTGAAAGTTCAAAACAGTCAGTGGCAGCTGAGGTCAGTAGGCCTGAAGTTTACAGAAAGATCTCATAACAGATACAGCCCTTTTTTTAGGTTAAAATCCAGCATTCTGATGTCACATCTGAGCCTTACCGCAAAAAGTTATGTTAGCCAACCACAAAATAACCACCTACAAAATTCAGAAAGGCAGTCTGAGGTATTTCTGTAATAGTACCCAAGGCTAAATAAATACTGTAGAGTAGGCTCTTGTATCACAGAGGAAAGGCAGAGTTTGCAACAGTCAGAACCCAGAGAGACATGAAACACAGCAATATAATGCTTGACCATCCTTGTGTGCTTCCCCAAGTATTTCATCTCTAGGTATATACATACACACATGCATATATGCTATATATAAACATATGCATACATACACTATGATGTATGTATAAAAATACTTGAAACACAGAAATGTAATGCTCGAACACCCCTTGCATGCTTTCATAAAGACTTCATCTGTATATATGTATATATATATGCACAGACACTATATATAATACACACACACATATAAACCTATGTATCGAAATACCAAAGTTCTGTACTTCCAAAATTAGTAAGTAGACCCAGATATATAGCTGGACCACTCTGCTTTCACAAATCCTAAACTAAGCTTGTGCTCCGTTACATGTAGGCCCTTGTTATTTGTGGGCCCATCTGTATGTGCAGTTTCACAAAGTCCAGGCTGTTTGTACTATGTTCCTTCTTTTCTGTTTTTATAAAAAAAAAATTAAGCTGCTGCTCCAATTCTAGGATCAACCAGCACTTAAGTGGTATATGAATGTGAAAAAATTCGTCTTTGATGCTAATGAACAATTCAGATATATACACTAGCTACATAAATATACAATGATGTTGATCTCAAGTATGCAGCTCCACCTTGAATTTGCAGAATATTCATCATTCCTTTTGAGAAAATCCTACATATACTGATTTTTTTTTAATTTAAGCCAATTCTTTCCATAAATGGATTTGAGTAAGATGCTTTTACCCCTGAAGCTACACAGAAAGTCACTGAAACACTAATATCTAAATGCATAGTTTCACCTTCCACTAGGCCATAATCACATTACCATTTAAGCTCTGCCATATGTTTACGAAGATAGTATGTGAGCATCCATGAAGAACTCATTAATGCTAAGAAAAGTATGCCATCAATGCCTTTCAGGGTCCATATGAAATCGTTCATAATTTAAAAGGAAATGTATGCAATAAAAATTTCAGATATTTAGTGTTAAAGTGACAGCATATAGGCCCCTCTCTCTACTCTGTCATGCCTTCAGGACAGAGATACCCTCTCTCATCCATATATAGTGGCATACTTGGGAAGTTTCATTCCTAGTAGATTAACTAGGAGTGGGAGATAATGTGAGATATCACAGAACCGGAAAATAACATCCTTTTCATGCCATCAGTGCTTATTTCTTTAGGTAAACTACTGCAGCAATAAAGTCGGATTCATCCAATCATTGCCCGCGAGTACACTGATAGCTATTTCTAGGGAAGACAGCTATCGGCCTAAGCTAATCAGACATATAAGGGGAGAACAGCCTTCATTTTTCACCACAGTTCATGTGACCCTTTAATCACAGTGACTAACCTCATTGCCAAAATAATGCCATCTCAAAAAATGCATTTACCAGAACAGCTCCTCTGTGCGAGTGTGGAAGATCAAATTTGTCACTGAAAATGAGACACAAAAACAGACTGAAGGGGGGCTGGGGGAGGAGGGGAGGGAGAAAGCTGCTTCTCAGCGCAGTCACAGGGTTCCAGCCTCACAACAAACACGCACGTTTCATCGGAGTCTGCAGAAATTAAATGCACTCTGCTTAAGCACCAAGCGCCTCATTAGGCGGGACGGGGCACCCGCGCCGGTGGGGCCCCTGCCCTCTCCCCCCCACGGGGT